TATGGATTTACGAAGATATTTAAGTTCCCCTTGTACTTAGTCCAGGTGTATGAATAACGAAGATTTTAAACAAAGTGCGCGGTAAATTAAATATATATGTAATCCTTTTTGAAAATTAATTGTTGATTTAATTTGATTATAAAAAAAGTTTCGCATTGGTTAAGTGTTTTTTTAGTGTATTAATTATAAAAATATCCTTTTAAATGCATGATTAAAAATAATTTAAGGCAAATAAATAAATAGATATTTGGATGCATTTTTAGAGATGCATTTGATTTTATAATAATAGTAAATAATATAATATTACAATTATAAATATATTAAAATAGAAAATATAAAAATAATCATAATAAACTAATAAAGAAAATAAGTTAAAAACCCAGGAGGGTGTAAATTATATTAAGGTAGTAAAATAGAGGGTGTTAACAGCATGTGCCAAAATCTAGATATTGGATTTGGCCCAGCAGCGCAAGGGGGGTGCAGGTTTGAACTAATTAGTAGAAATAGGGGGTGTGAGCAATAGGGGCCCAAGTCCAGATATTGGACTTGGCCCCTTGGCATTAGGGGGTATAGGTTTACAACGCAGTAACAAAATAAAGTAAAAGGCAGTGTCAATAATAACTTGGCCAAGCCCAAAGACATTGTTTTAGGAGAGACTGTTTGGGTAGCTCGTGGGCAGCGTACGGTGATACCGTGGGCACGCGTTCTTGGAACATTGGATTAAGATCGCGTGGATGTGATGGAAGGTGCGTGATAACAATTGTGGGGTGACAAGCCCTTGGTTATAAATATATTATATTTTTGTTTTATCAATCATTTTGTTTCACTCTCATTATACTATTTTCCTTTCTCTCTGCAACGCTCTCTCCTCTCTCTTACCCTAAACAAAACCCTAATTGATTCAAAGCAGTGGCGTTAATCGCCCCCCTCAATACAACAACAGAACATCACAACCCATAAGCCCCAACCTCCGAAATCAAATACAACAACAAAAAACGTTAAGCTAAACAATCGTTACCTAGTCGTGTTTTTCGCTTCTCTGAATTCCGATATCGCTTTCTAATCCTTTCTTCTTCTATGTTTTGACAGGCGCAAGGTAAAGGAGGAGGCGCAGTGGAGATTGATGCAGCGGTGGCTCAACTAGAGTTTCAGATATTGAAACCCTAGGCGACAATGAAAAAGAGTTGACGGTGTGGCTCAAAGTTCTTCTTTTGCTCCTTGTTCTTCAGGAAATTATCCTTATATTACCTCTTTTTCTGTCAATTTTCTCCTCCTAAATTTCTTCCACTTCTTCTAATTTTCTTTAGGGTTTTTATAGAGTTATTTTAGATTTATATTAGGAAATTTTATGTAATCGATCATTATTTTTCTTGATTGATTAGAGAAATAGGGAAATTAAGGATTTGTTAGAGATTTTGATTGTAATCACTACGCCAAAAATGATTTTTTGTATCACCTAATTTAATAGCACTTTTAAACAAAATGCTATTAAAATGGAAAAAACACATTTATAATAGCACTTTTTAATCGGGCGCTATTATATAATACAGACTATGTAATTATGATAGCACTTTGTACCAGAACGCTATTATTAAACTTCTTTAAGATAGCATTTTGTATAAAACGCTATTATTTGACTACCTATATAATAGCATTTATTAAAAAGCGCTATGTTATATATAAAAATGAATTAATTAATTAATTGATAAAAAAAAAAAACAAAACACATTTTCAGAAAGTTATTTCAATTAGAAACCGAAACAAAATAAAAAAACACAGGAAGGAGAAAAGTCATTCCAAATCCATTACTTGACTGGCCTCCGACGACACGCCGACGACCGCGAGCGACAACTCAACTGCTTCTGCAACAGCACAATATCGACGCACTCCGGCCCCCTGTAGCGTCACCGGCAGCCACCACTGGGCGTTCGACTCCGACCTCCATCTCCAGCCACTCTCGGTTTTGCTTGCAGGTAAGCAATTTTTTTCCTCTATTTTCTCGATTTGTTGTCATTGTTGTTGGAGAACTTAAATGCTTGATTTGAATCTTGGATTTCTATTTTGTTGTTGTTCTTATTTTAAGAGAAAGATTGATTTTGTTTTGGGGTTGAAATGGATGAGAGATAGAAAAAACCATGGTTATTGTTTTGCAAGTTGTGGTCTTTTGTGAGAGTAAAGATTTGATTCAATTTGATTTAGGACTGTAAAGATTTAATTTGTTCTGTATTGATTATGTAAAAGGTCGTTTGATTCAATATACAGATCTATTTTGAATGATTTGGTTATGTTAAGATTTGTCTGTATTTGTACAATACTAGTTGTCTGCTTTAAAATGTGTGTTACTTCTTGACTAATTCAAAAAGTAACAATTTCTAGCCTAAAACGTTATTATTACTTAATCCAATAAGTACACATTTTTTGTTCTTTTGGGCTTGGGCCTGCGTGTTTAAGGGCTTCAATTTTGACCTTTTAGTCATTGCTTTTTTTCAAATAATGAAACTGATATAAATCTTAATAATATAATAGTAATTATAATAATAGTAATGTTAATAATAATTAGAAATTATATACAAACAAATGTAACTTCTTAAAAACAACAAAAATTGAAACAGGCCTACTTGTTTAACTTATTAGGCCTTAAAAATGATTTGCTATATGCCTTTTTGATTAAAAACGCACACCCTTTTATACACAAATGCACCTCCTTATTATAATATTCTAATGGACCAATAACTTAACAAATACACCCTCCCCCTTGTTAGAAAGCACATATGGGCTTAAAATTTTATGTGGGCCTTTTCTGATTTAGAAAGGCCCATTAATAAAGAAAAACCCCTTTTATAAACTTTAAACCCCCATGAGTATGTGAATAATAGATTATAAAGCAAACTAATTTTTAGAAATAGAAATAAAAATATTAGAAATCAGTAGGACAAGTTTGGGGTATGACAAATAAAAAAGACATGATTTTCTTCAAGGAGTCCTTAACATTTTCTCTTCAAGGGTCAAAGGCTAATTTTGAGAGGAAGATCATTTAAGTGTGAAAAAGATTACAAGTCCTTTGGAAAATCCATTGAATTCTATGACTTGACTTCAAAGGATCATAACTTGGTCAATTTTTATCTCCTCAAGCTCATTCTTTTTCCATAATAAACTTAAGGATGTTTACTACAACTTTGTTTCAAGGGGCAAGATCTGAAAATGCTTGGAAATTCATTAAAGAATTGAAAATATTATAGGTCATCCATGGATTTCACAAGAAAATTTCATCATCTTCCAAAGGCCATAACTATTTTATCTTTTATGCTTTTTGAGTGATCTCAATCCCACAATTCAATTTTAAGGGTCTATTCCATTTCATCTTCAAGTATCAAGAGCAAATTTTGAGTAGAAGGGCTTGTAACTTTGAAGAACATTATATATCATTTTAGAGCTCAACACTTAGAATTTTTTCTAAGTACCAAGATCCGTGTGTTTTTCCCAATTTCAAATGAACATAACTTTGTGATCAAGCATCCAAATGAAGTCTTTCTTGGCACATTGTAAATTTTGTGATCTTGTCTTTCTAATGCCTCAATAAACATGCCAAAAATATTCATGAATTGTTTGCACCATGGATTTGAAGTTGTTACCCTGGAACTGAATTTTCTCATAACAATCAAAATACCAAATGCTTAATGTGACTTCTAAACACAAATTTGCGGTATGTTTTTTATATAAACATGTTTAATAAACTTGATAAGCATTGTTTAAGCATTGAAACACAAGAATTAGCTAAGTTTTATGGAAGGTTGAGTCACACTTTTCTCACTTTGGGGCTCCATACAAATTTCCCCCAAACCTCATGATTTCGCACACTTAAGCTCACCATTAACTCCCCTATAAATAAAGGATCACTCTCCATCTTTTTCCCAAGATTTAGACAACCATTGTCACCCTACCAAAGTTCCACTAGAAGCTTGAAATTTGAAAATCCATTTCACAATTTTAAGCCTTCTCTCTTCAAATCTCTTATGATTCTTCTTTCTCAACTATTACACAAACTCTTCACACTACAAGAAAAATGATAGATTGAGACGGTTATTTTGGCTGATTACGACGGTTAAAACCGTCGCAATTTACAATCTACGACGGTAGAAGTACCGTCGCAGAATCGTGCGTCCCCAGCCTATTTCGCGACGGTTGCAAAAATTGTCACGCACAACAGATAGCGACGGTTATATACCGTCGTGAATTTGACTTTATTTTTTGTTTTTTGTTGTTGTTTGCGACGGTTATTCTACCGCCGTAGGTTAGAAATTGCGGCGGTTTTAACCGTCGTAATCTGATTTATAAATTTCAAATAATATTTTTATTTAAATTATTATTTAGTAAAATAATTTTAAATATAATATTATTTTACTATTATATTTAAATTATTATTTACTTTAATATTTTATTATTTATAGTATTTTTATTTTATTTTCTATCACTTTTCAACATAATAAAGTTAATTACAATAAAAACATTTAATATCAAATAATCATCAATAATATCAAAAAAAATGTGATCAAAGGTAAAAAGAAGTGCAAATTTTACCAATAAACAAGAAAAATTCAAATATCATCAAACTCCAATTGTATGAAAAGTTATAAGGTACAGAAAAATCAACTACAACAAAATCTCCAATAAAATAAAATTCACTTTCCGCTAAGGAGAAACCTAATCAAATTTGGATATGTATCAAGGCGTCTCAAGTTCTTTAGATATGTATGATACATAAATTGAGGACATTCTTCATATAGAAGCACGTCGACACACTTTTTCAATTCCTGATAAATATAGACGATAGAAATGTCTTCATTAGTGCTTGTAAATTCCTGGATTTTAGGAATCAGATTTAAACCTAGACCTTTCTCGACTAAGCTCATTGTGAGAGCTTCAAAAACTTGGTTGATGTCTACTTGCACCATCAGTCTTCTCTATGCCCTTGTGCGAGCTAAATCAATGCCTTCCATTACTCACCAAAGCTCAGCTACAACACTACTACATTTTCCATCATAGTAATCACACAAATTATCTGGAAGATTCAAGTGGTTTAGATATTGGTTGGTTTTGATTCCATTATGATATATCATCCACACAAAAACCCTTATTCTTTTAGTAACACTCAGATTCCAAATGCCTTTCCAATGATCCTCTATATCCTTGTTCTTGGTGGAGGTATTACAAGCATTATATCCAAAAACTTCCGACTGAACATGTTCCTTAAATGGCTTCAATTCCAATTTCCATCATCATTAATTAAGTCTGCAATTGTTGTTTGCCTGCATGAGAATGTGATCATTTAAATGGAAACAACAGTTTGCCTTTGATTGCACAGTTTATATTGTGCTTCAAACTTTATTCAGAAAACCACATCAAAAAGGAAATTAGTGAATAACATCAGTTAACATACCCCGATTTCTGTCACAAACCGGCATGATGAACACCTGACCTGTGAAGCGCCATATGGATACATTAGCAATAGCGTACAACTCCCACACTTAACTTGCCCGACCTGATCAGCTGCAGGGAAGAAATGACCTATGATATAAATAGATTGCCACACAAAACGATAATGCATGCCGTATCATGTTTTTTACACAAGATTATTTGCAGCAGCAAGCACGCAACTACCAATAGCAGGACTGTTCTTCCCATCATGAAATTGTTTATGAAAGTATTTAATCAACCAGGTGCATAAAAGCTGAACTTAAAGTGCAAAGTTTCACAGAAAATACACGTTCAAGATAAAAAGAAGCAAAGAGAAAGTAAACTTGCCTTCAAACACAATGTTGACCGTTTGACAGCATGAACATTTGACATGTTTGGCACCTGATGGATACGAAAGCAGACGTCTACAAGAACCACAAACCATTTGAGCAAAACCTGTTAACACATATTTTCTAGTCAAACTCAACAAATTAATACCCAATTCCGTCCCTTGTCAATTGCAGATTGTTAAAATTCCTCTTTGCAATAGTGCTATAGCACTACTATAACCGCCACATGACAACATTTTGTACTAAATACCGTATCTCAAAACAATGGAGGCCGCGATTTGACAACATTCGTTAAAATTTACTTGTCCAATCATTGAAGAACAAAGACTAGAAATAAAACAATGATCGTGCAGTAGGTGATTAATAACAGTGCATAATTTAGAAAAATACAAATTATATAGTAAAATCCATTAGGGTATCTTTGAATATTGAAAGAGAGTGAAGGGAATAGAAAAACAACAAATTCCAAGCAAAACAAGCATAGCAAAAGTGATTTTACCTTACAGACAGCAAACATAAAAGTAGCACCGCAACAGAGCCTACAAAACGCAGATATGGTTAAACAAGCATTTGCAGACATCCAACACAAGTTGTCTATCCCGAACATCTCCTCCTCAATTACTCTTGCTACAAACACAATATCTAAAAAATGAAAAAAATAATAAATAAAGACATAATGCAGAGAAGAACTATCAAAATGACCTGAAAAGCAAACAACTTACGAGCACAAGAACGCACTATAGAGTTTATGTAATCTGATTTTCTAGAAAAAACCTTTCCAGAAACTTCACTATAAGACATATTTGGCTGGCTGCAAATAGAACTTATATCAGTCTGCAAACAATGAACACACGGCAACACAGATGAAACAATCACATTTCCACGCATAATGAATTGCATAAATATTGTACCACATTATCACTTGCGTAGTTGGGATGCATTTGTGAGTCTGTAGCAAATATCATTTCTGTTTGGATTTCTAGCTGTTTCAAAAAGACCAATGATACACTATTCAATAAAAAGCTTAACAATGCAAAGTTTCCTTTGTATTCTCCTTTTGTTTTCAACATTTTATTTTTACTTATGCAGATACACGAGATACACTTAAGTTGTACAAGAAAGGTGAACTTAAAACTCTGCTATCTGAGGCTATCTAAAACTTTGCTATCTGTACATTTAGAGGACTTAATATATATTTCTCTCTATTCTTGAAAATTCACAGGCCGTAATTGATGCCAATATAATTCCTCCTTTGGTTGTCTTGCTTCAAAATGTTGAGTTTGATATCAAGAAAGAAGTTGCATGGGCCTTCTCTAATGCTATATCGGGTGGATCTCATTAACAACTCAAGTATGGGGAGATCCTTATTTTTGCAATCCTTAATAATTTTATTAGTTTTCCGACATTTTTGTTTCAAGATATCACAAGTTATTTTTCCGTTGTTGACAGTATCTTGATAAATCAGGGGTGTATTAACCCTCTATGTGATATTCTCATATGTCTTGATCCTAAGATTGTGATAGTTTGTTTTGAAGGGCTTGAAAACATCTTAAAGGTAGCAACACTGATGGTGTGAACCTGTTTAGCCCAAATGACTGATGATGTTGAGGGTTTGGAGAAAATAGAGACTGTTTGCCCAAAGGACAGCGAAATTTATGATTAAGAAAATCGGCATTGTGACTATTTGAACCATTAGGTGAAAAAACAGTTAAAAAATTCATTAGACAATAGCATATACCACGGTGTATCTTCTCATTTTTGGCCTCACCTGTTATATAAGAGAATACAGATTTGAATTGTAATGTAATACTTGCTCACCAGAGTTATGAATTTTAGCTAAGTAAATATTATCAAGGCTTGAAGTTTCAATTATAGTGAAATGATTTTGTAAACTTTTGATGATATGATGTCTTTCACCCATATGTATATGAATCATCAAAATTAATGAATATGATTGATTTAGAAAGTTTTGAATTGATGTTTGTGCAAGTGTAGCACATGCATGATACTAACAGTATGGAATTATAAAAGGAAATGAACTTCCATAAAGAGAAATAAGCTATTAAGAAGGAACAATAAAATCCAAATTAACTTGAAACATGAAACATCCATGCTTGTATTTTTCTAAACATTCAACAAAAAAGTATTTTCCAATCCAAACCAATCACAATTTTTTAACTTTAAGCTTGCACTTTTCTAACATATCATTTTAAAATATACTTTTATCAGTATAGCTCAAAATATTATAAATATACCAAACAAATTTACCGGTGAAGGAGCGCGGGTATTTTACTAGTTTCCATATCTTCTCTATATGCCAATCTCAGTCTCAGTTCTTCAGGAATTTCTGTAGTGTCCTCTTGCCCTGTTTCAAATGTTCCTTTTTGCTGCAAATCCATAAGTTTCATTAGATGGTGTAAAAATGCATTAAACATATCATAAGAAATTGCTGAGTCAGAAAGAAGCTGAGAAATCACAAACCCTTTTTAATGCCTCAAGCAACTCGTCACGCCCAATATAATCCAAATCCTTCCTGGCCGTTAAAATTCCAGCTTCGTTCCTATCATTTATTCGTGATCTGTCAGTCTATATTCTGATGATGGATTGATGCAGAAACTTTTATCAAAGATTATTTACAGTATATTCTGCAGCTCTGCCCCAGTAAAATCTTCTGTTAGCTCTACAATTTCGTTAAGCAGAGTATCTTTTTCTTCTTCTAAGCGAAAATACTTATTCATAGCATGCACCTAGTTTGCAGTATGCACCAAAAAGAATAGGAAAAAAGAAATTTAAAATATTGAAATACTATAGACTGATCCCAGTAAATCAAGGTTTTGGAGGTAAAATACCTTCAAAATGGCAAGTCTTCCATCTCTTAAAGGCAAACCAACTCTAATGATCTTGTCGAAACGACCCTTCCACAAAAGAGCAGGATCAATAATATCCAATCTATTTGTAGCACCTATCACAAGCACCTGAAATTCAAATTCAGTATATCAAATAACATCTTTGTGATCTTGGAATTTAATTAAAGCTTACCTGTGCTGTGGAAACTTTGAATCCGTCCATCTCAGTCAGTATCTGAAGTAATCCTTGTTCCCTTTCAGCACCTCCCTATGTAATTTATGGACAATGAGAGTTTAATTGGACAGAAAAAAGTGACCACCAACAACACCATTATTTTATAGGACACCTCACTTGTCAATGTTGATTATTGTCAGTTAGAGATAAAACACTGACATCAGTTCTAGAACAATTGAGATTTCAAAATTAATAAGGTAGTTTAGTTCTATAATGTGAATGAGGAAGTGGTTAACTTTATCTTCAGGACCTTTGACAATAATGGAATAAAGTTTAATAACTTGGGTGAAAGCAATATAAAGCAAAAACTGTTCATATGCATCAATTTCTAGATGAAAACCTTTATCTTCTCTATAACCCTAATTTTCATCAAGCAAAGTTACATTAAGATAAAATCATAGCTAACACAATAAGGGTTTTTGCTTCTGAATTGAATCATAGAAAAAAGAAACATAACCTGTTTGATAGCACTGGAAACAGAGAGAGTGGTGCTTTGATTGAGGCATTCAACACCAATCCAATCTATGAAGCCTAAGAGATCAACCTAATCAAGAGTATATGAACTAGGTTAGAACTTGTGTACCCTAAATCAAATAAGATAAACTTGACGATGATCATAATAGTGAATGATAGAGTTTGAATCTTACTTGACCCTTGTGAATAGCGGTGGCGGATTCTCCAGACATTGCTGCTGATTTATGCGACACGGAATACCTTCTTTGTGCGACTTCAAAGAGAGATCTTCCCCTTTGCTTAGCAATCGAAGGAGGCCAGTACGAAGATCTCTAGAGGACATTTGATGCTTTCGATTGGATATCTCAGATCTGACACGTAGTCGTCTTTATGTACAAAGGAGTTTGTGATTCTGAAAAGAAAAGGAAATTGCGGTAGAATTTGAGAATCTTAGCGCGTGAATTGAAAGAACGTTACAAAAGGTTGAGAACGATCATAAATCTGAGCGGGGTCGGTTCTTAAACCGTCGTGGGATATGATACGTTCCAGCCAAAGGGACGGTGAAAGGAACCGTCGTGGGATATGCTATAATTCTATTTTTTATTGAATATATATTGACATTACTATTATATTATTTAAATACTACTAATATTAATATAGTTACTATTATATTATATAACTACTATTAATATAATTAATAGTTAGTAAGTAATATTATAATATTAATATTATAATTAATTAATTACTATTATTATATTTAATTAATAAAAGTGAAAAGATGGAAAAATAAAACAAATGGGAAAAAGTGAGAAAATAAAATAATAACAAAATAATAATTATGATTGGTCAAAGTAGTCGCGACAATCTGTTATACTGGTCGCGAGTGTGGAAAGAGGGCAGTTCTTTGGCAACTGTCTCAATTATGTTACTCAATATGCTTAAAAATCTACGACGGTTGGCTCTAACTGTCGTGACAACTGTCGCAGTCCAAGAATAAGGACGGATTTATGGGAACCGTCGCAACTCATGTGTCGTAAAACTCATTTTTTCTTGTAGTGTCACCACCTAAACCAAGCAATTCGAGCCATAAATCAAGCTACAAAAGTTCAGTTTCGAAGGTCATTTTTTGAGCTTCGTTCAGGTAGTTTCCTCAACCAAATCGATCCAAACAAGTTACCATGTTGTAGTCCTTCTCTTGAGTCTCACACTTCTTTTGGTTTTTGTTTTCATTAAGAATTGATCATTTATTTTGAAATTTCATTTTGCAATTTTCATCTGGTTTTTCCAAATCGACTACGCTGTGATATAAAGAAATATTTCACGTGGATATGGTTAGGATCATCTGGAAGAGACGGATCTAATGATACCACTATGAGCTTCAAACATTTCTGTTTGAAGAATCTCATAAAATCCCAATTTGCAGGCGTCTGAAGGTTGAAGACGACCTACATGTCATTCTTCAACCAATGATAGTGTGACAATTGTTGTATTTTATTTGGCTCCGTTTAAACTTAATTTTGTGTGTTTCTCACTAGTGTCCATATCATGAACAACACGCCAGGTCCCTTGGATCTGATTACTAACATGTTTTGACATTCATCAGATGGTCCATATGTTTTGGTTTTATTTTATATTTTCTGATTTTAATTGATGATTTAGTGTGTTATTCACTAATGACCATATCATACACACCGCGCCAGGTCTCCTAAATCTGATTACTAATGCGTTTTGACATTGATCACATGGCCCAAATTATTTTGGTTTTATTTTTTATTTTCTTATTTTTGTTTTAATTGATTTACACTTCATAAATTCATAAAAACTTCATTTCTAACTTAAAAATTATGAAAAAATTTCAAGAAATATTTTTGAATTTACTCTTTCTGATTCTTATTTTTTATAATTTTATTTTATGATTTGATTTTTTTTAATGATTTTCCTTATTATTTGAGTTGTTTTAATTGTTAAAACATAATTTCAGACCTTTGAAAAAAATGAGAAAATTATGGAAGGATCAAATGACATTGCTTTAAATATTGGTGACCTTATTTCATTTTTATTTTTTATTTTTGTATTTTTTGTAATTTTGTTTGGTTTATTTTACATATTTCTTCATATTTTAGAAATAGTTTCTGACTTTTAAAAATTCTAGAAATTTTTGTCAACAATTGTTGATCTTTATTTGACCATTGGTGATTTTACTGGATTTTTATTTGGTGTTTTGATACCTTTTATGTATTTCATCAATAAATTCCAATTATATAACCATTTTTTAATCATTTTTATATTTTATTTTAATGGAGTTTTATTCTATTTGATTTGGTTCCGACTTGGTGATACATGAACACTTCTTGAGTCATAAATTTCCTCAACATCAATGGAACTTGGGTGTTGATAGATCAAAAGAATAAATCCACCAAGATGGTTGATGAATTTAGACCTAGTTGTGATTCATCTGAGGCATTGGTTACATTGTGACTTCTCTCTTTTCCCTTTCATCTTATCCCATTTCTTCTTTTCCTTTTAATTGGTTCTTAGTGGCCCGAACTTTATGTTTGCAAGCCCATGTATGATCAAGTGTTGAGCTATGGCCAATAACATTGAAAGCTCATTGTTATGATGCTTTGATTCTATCAATCCTTTAATGAGTCTTCATCAACTTTGACTAGGCTCAAGGCTCAAATCATCATGGATCATAACACTTGGAACTATCCCACTTTCTTTTTTTATTTGATTGATACTTAGTGGCTCAAACTTTGTGTTTCTAAGCCTAAGGATGATTAAATGGTGAGCTATGGTCAATAACCTTTAAATCACAATGTTAGGAGGCTTTGATTTTATCAATCCTCTAATGAGTATTCATTAACTTTGACTTAGGCTCAATGTTCAAATGATTATGGATCATTCATCTAGAAAATATGTCCCAACCATTAACTGATATCTATTAATTTCTAATCATTGACTATTAACAACTGACTTTACTTTATGCTCTTACTTTATGCATTTATTTAATGCCTTTACTTTATGTCATTTACCTTTAGTATTTACATCTCATGCTATTTGCCTTTTCTCACTTGAACATTTACTTTTTGTCATTTTATCTTTGCTCACTTGAGCTTTCTTTTCTCTTTTTCAATACACTTAATAATAAACTTAAACATTAAAAAATATTAAAGTTACTTGGACAATCTGGTTACTATCCCTAGTGTTAGAACAAGATTTGGTTTTGCAATACTATCTCTGAGTTTTGATGATAACAAACGAGTATGTTTGCATGAACAATTTTGATACTCTAATGTTTGTTATTATTGAGTGAAGAAGTGAAAAACACAAGAAGGGGGAGTTAAATTGAAACTTAAAAATCAAAAGCAATAGACACAATGATTTTTATCCTGGTTCGCTTGATCTCAAACTACTCCAGTCCACCCGCCAAGGTGATTTCGCCTCTCTCCAACGAGGACTTAATTCACTAATCAAACTGATTACAATTCTACTTCAACAACTTCCAAAGTCTTCTTGAGTACAACCACAATCCGATTTATCTCAAGGAAATTTGCCTAATCAAAAGAAAAGGTTCACTGTGTACTATTTGTTTTTCGTTACAAAAACTGTATCACTAATGTGATGTATTACACAAAATTTGGAGCATAGTATGAATATATGTTTTACAGCTTTTTGAGATTGTATGGAGCAGTTGTGTGAATCGTAAACGATTTACCCTTTGAACTTGTTTATATAGGCGTGGAAGTCTGTCCAAATGGAAACGTGATAATGGACATTTAATGTTCTTTCCATACTGAGAAGATCCTTGTCTGATTGTAGCCGTTTTAAGTGATACTGCCTTAATGGAAAAGTAACGCTTCAGAACTTAGGAATCTTGCATGCTGCTTTACTTCAGAACTTGGGAAGTAAGAAGCATAAGGTTCTGTTAGTGTGTTGGACTTCCGTTCAGAATCAGGATATCTTTCTCTTTAGTGCAAATTCTGATCATCATGCTTTAGAACATTCTGATTACTCAGCTTGAGTGCTTCTGTGACTTAACTTCTAATGTCGTTTTAGTCAGAACTTCTGTACAACATAGAACACAAATTTAGAGTGCATATTTATTCTTTGTGTTTGTTATCATTAAAACTCTTATGAGGGTTGTAGAATCAAACTATGTTCTAACAATCTCCCCCTTTTTGATGATGACAAAAACTAGGATTTTTTCAATAAAAATGTATAGAACAAAATCTTAAGAGAGTACCCCCCTGAGTTGAGTACTCAGATAGAGATGAGATACTTACCTGAAGTTCCTTCGTATCAGAGCTTTTGATGCATCTCCTTCTGTCTTTATTAGAATTTGTTCCTTTTTAAGCTTTCAGAAAACAAATAAGAATTTAAGATATTTAGAATGTTTGAGACTTAGTCCCGGTAAACTGTTATTAAGAATATCTTATGTTCTCCCCCTTTTTGTCAGGTATCAAAAAGCAATATAATCATAAATTATCTGAGTCAAAAATGATGATTTGTATTGAAAACAGATTGCAATGACATCTTTCAGAAACAAAGAAGATAAGATGAAGAATACAGAAAACAAGTAAAAAAATCTAAGATGGAGGGGAAGTCATGTGAGCAACGCTTCCAACAAGCTCTTAATCTGAGTGCTTGATTCTTCTTGCTTTCCTAGTATATCCTTGATTTCTTTGGTATTGTCTTCTTGCTTATCTAATATATCCCTTATTTCTTGGTTTGTGTCTTCTTGCTTATCCAATCTTGCATGGATTAAAGCATTCTCCTTCTTCAGCTCTTCCAGAGTTTGCATGACCAGATACGTAGCTGGTGTTTCCTTAGAGGTTGCAAGTTGTTCAGAACACTCTGCAGCATCTTCTGATTCAACTACTTCTTCTGTTGCAATTTCCTTTTCTGGAGTAGTAGTTAGAGGGTGACTATCAGAACCTGGTTAAGTGGCTTCTGAAGGTTTGTGCTCTTTCCAGGGAGCATTTTCCAGCAGAAGAATTTCTTTCTTGTCCCAGTGACTCAAAACTTGGTCTTTGAAAGCTTTCAGATGATCACTGAAGTTCTGCTGAGCCATTTCATAACTCAATTCTTTCATCCTTTGGGATTCAGAGTTGAACCATTTTTTGAATCTATGCCAAAGAGAATCAGAAGCAGCAGGATTATAATTCTCTTGACTTGCTTGTTTCAAAGAGGTAACCCATTCCTGTATTCCTGTTTCAAAAATAAGCAAGTT